TATATATATATATATATATATATATATATATATATATATATGTGAGTGTCATGTTGCCCGCTACTAGTCGAAATCAGCATCGAGCTAACCCTAAGCATAGACATATTTATTGTCCAATTAGATCAGAAAATAATGGTTGTAATAAAGCCAGGAGTATTCTCCAACATGATACCCGTCTCTAGCTAGCCTGCCTAGGTACAACTGTGATGTCATACATCAAAGAGAGGGTTTGAAGGCTCAAGCAAACAAACATGGGAGTATACATACTTGTGTCTTTGGAAGGAAACCCGAGTGTAGGCTTCTGCAAACACAACAACACCTGAAATTTCTATAGTTTGATGGAAATCCAACCAAATAAATATGAAGATTATTATGGCGTATCATTTAGTTCATCCTCTCTTTTGATCACCGATGCTAGAGTAGTATGAATCAGTAATATGAATGCTTTCGTAATGGTCGATTTGGGTACCACCAGCTCTGCATATGGGGTGATCTTGCAGGACTTCTTGTCTCTTTCGATCATTTCCTCAAACATCCTGTCTTCATCTCCATTTCCTTTACTCTCCGACCGACCAACAGAAGAAGCACAGCACATCTTAAATACTCGCTCCTCACAGATCTAACAAAAGGAATCCAACCTAAACAATCATCAGCTTGGCCCAAACTCACTCCTGAGTTGTAGCAACAGAGTGGCAGAAACAGTTCATGTTTTCACCCATACGCCACTCACGATTCACCGAATAAACTCTTCTCTGCTTGCATTAATTCCTCCTAATCCATCATCTCATATATGCAGCACAAGGGAAGAAAAGAAAGAAATCTCGAGACCAAGAAAGACATACCAGGAATCGTCCGAAACCCATGCCTGAGAGGATACATCCTGCAAGCCATTAGAACTCTCATCCGTCGCGAGTCCCACCGCTTCTACCCCGAAGCATTCATTCTTCTTCGTGGAAGAATGAGAGGTCCGGATGAAGCCCGGCGCGGGAGGGAGGATAACGAGAGCTCGCGTGAAGATAATGTCAAATGGATGATGAGTCGCATTCGACATCATGTTGTAACGTCATATTATCATATTACGACGACATATCGTAAGATATCATCATTTAATTAACATATATTAAAATCCTTCACATGCCCCCTTTTAAATTTAATTCAATCACTTCCTGCCATATTAACATTAATCATTTTTAATTAAAAAATATATATATATATATAAATATAAAAAAACTTACGCTAATATTTTTCACATCACAACAAATTCTCATAAATGATGACTTCAAAAGATGGATATTCTTAGTTTCTTGCCATCGATCATAAACCAACCATACACACAAATAATTTTAATACTAATTATGTATAATAATATAATAAATAATGATACCCACATAAAAAATATATATTTATTCAGCGCACAAGACTCCCGCCAATATCAGTAATGGTTCTCATACTTAAAATTTGATCTCCACATATATAAATCAAAATATGCACATAAAAACATATTAAGCTTCATAGTTTCTCCGTATCATACATATCAAGATCCAAATAGATTGTTCGCATGATAAATCTTTCAATGAAAGTCGAGAACTAAACACCAACGTTGCACGTTTGGCAATGGATACATTTTACACTGGCTAAAAATGTTCATTCTCAATCATAAGAGGAGATCATAAGCGCAATCTTGTGCAGTAGGCCGTATGCGCTCTTCTCATCCGTGCCAGATGCAGCTGCCCACTCCTGATACTTGTGAAGACTTCCAGTGAAGTCGGTGAATAATCCATCGACCCCAATTTTGTTTAGCCAGTACTCATACTCGGAATATGGGTCTTGATGGAAATCAAAGTGTAAGAACGAATTCTCATTCCTGTAGGTGTATGGATGTACCTGCGATTAACAAAAAAGTGTAAAACAATCAATATCAGCGAGGGGATATCAAGGATAAACTTCTAAACCATCTAAGCACGTGAAATGCTTAACAAAAGCAAACGATAAGCTGTCAGCAAACAACTAATCAATGGCAACATGTAAAAGAACATAGTTCTGGGTATCATACGTTAGGTTGGAACTGAAACTCAATAAGATCAAGACCAGACCACAAGTCACTGGAAGCAGCATCTCCCAGGTAAATTTCCAAACAAAATTATGACTATACAACTCTCAAGGTGTTTATTATGACCTTGGTTGTACTTCCAAGCAATAAATTGCCTATACAAATGATCATCGTACACTGAAGACAGTAAAACAATCACTAACGTGATTATTGCAAAGCTCATTATGTGCATCTGCAGCATAAACAAAGCACAACCAACAATACGGATGCAAAAAACATAAAGAAAACCAATTAAAGGCAGATGATAGATGGAACTAACAGAGAGGAGGCACGAGAATGAAAACAAACAGCTTACCTGAAGATTATGTGCATGCGCTCTATCAACAAGATCAGAGGGTGTAGTCAAGTGGTTATTTTCTGGGGGAACAATTGTGTCCTTCCAGGGTCCGATTCCAACCACATAGCTTCTGATGTATTCAAGAAAACTATCTGAAGTAATTTCCCAATATGACTGCAACAAACAAATAAAAATTAGTATGCATAGTGAACCATAGAAAATTGCAGAAGATAGTGACCAAACTAATTATGTCAAATCAAATATAAAAGTCATTGCTAAGATATTCTTCAATCAACATAAATGTATTTATGCGGTCACTGATACATAATTCAACACTCCAAATTTAGTTTAATTAAAAAATATAGCAGAATATCCTCGTTTGGGCACAAGCAAACCTGATTTGTGTCTTGCGTTGGCATGGTGAAGTCATCAATTAAAAATATTTTTGGAGAATCTGTCATGTTTGAAATGTATATTAAAGAAGTTGGAGCAAAAGACTGTATGAACACTGGTTGCTTCAGCCAATCCTCCGACATGTATGCGCCTTTATACCCATACTTCAGTAGCAACCCAACAAACTTGTCCTCAAATTTCTTCCCATGGGGCCATTTGACCTGCGAAAATGGAATAGCTATGAAAATCCTCCTAAGAGTTTAATGACAGAAGCACATAAGATAATTAAGAGGTCACTATGTTGTTTGAAGAAACATTACAGGAAAATTGTCTCTCCAAATTTTTTTACATTGAAATGTTTACTTCTCGCTAAAAATCTATAATTTGATTTATTGGTGATGCAGATACATTCTCAGGAGTCAGGACAAATACAGATCACTCACATGCTGATTGATGAAAACTGGATTTTTGATCTCTGGGTATATTCCAACAATTCTGTTGGCATCAAGAGCAATGGCAATGAACTCCTCAAACGTGATAATTGAAAATTTACCTGATTAACAGATTGGAACAAGAATTAGTGTTGTAGCAATGTAATGTTAAACAAGCCAATTCTTCTATTAGTCATTGTCAAAAGGTCAACATTATAAAATTCCAACTATAAAGTGCAAATTTCCCAGGACTATTCCAGATGTACTTTCAAGGTCTAGTCAAGATAAATACATGAAACCATTCAGCTACCTGTTAAATTTTCATCCAATTCAATCACTTAGGCCATTGTACCTCGTTTCGATAGACTAAAGAAGTCAACCAATCAGGTTCAGAAACCTACGCTATCATTGTTAATGTTAAATTATTTACTTGCTTGGCAAAAACCACGTAGAAACTGGGTATCCAAAAGCCATATCCAGCAGGATTACTGTCCAAGCCTAAGACTGAAATATTTTCAGCCTGAAACATCTGTGCTCAAGAACTGTTCTAGGGACTCAGCTAAACTAAGGGGAGAACTGTTGGCAGGTCATGCCAAAGCATTAATTTATTTATCATATATATGAAGGAAAGATAAGTGACAAAAAAAATTGAGTTGATATTAAATGAATAAAACAAGTAAATTGAAACAAAAGGAAAAAGTATTATAAGAAAGAACAATGCAAACTAAATTAAATGTTTATATCATTGAAAAATTCATCAAAATTAAACCCAAATAAGCATACCATTATACTGTTGATCTCGGAATGGATACCTCTGCTTCACTCTAAGTGATTTAAGTTCATCAAGTGTAAAATCCACTGTAAAGAAGCCAAACAGTATGATGTCAGTTGCAACGGTGCTGATGCAGTTTATAAGACACGAGAAATCAAAAGATACAGTGATCCACACAATCACTTTTGAGACAGCTGGAAGCTGCTTTCCGGAAAGAACCAATTGTCACCAATTGTAACCACAGACTGCTTAATCCTCGGTTTTCCAATATCAACCAAACAGAATTTAACTACAGCAGTCAAATATTTTACATTTGTCATCCAATTGTTAGGACCATTTTAGTAACAAGACATCTTAAGATTTGCAGAGTTGACCAACAAAAGCAGTCTAAAAAGTTTCAAACCATCCAACGTGTGTTGATAAAACTATTTGGGAACAAGACCAATAGAACAATTAATTGTAGGAACACATACCTACAAACAAAACCAATAGAAAAATTAATTGTAAGAACACATACCTACAAAGTACCCAGTCATGTTAGACCCTTGAACTTCATAGGTTCTTTTGCGATCGGCAAACTCCTTATGTTTGGCAATATCAGTTGTATCATCAAGTATTACATCATGAAAGCAAATTAACGAGCCATCTTTACTTGCAAGGATATCAGTCTCTATGAAGTCGGCACCTTCTTCAATGGCTCTCTGCAAGAACAACCAAATACTATTTTAGATTTGGAATAATCAAGGAAGCATTATCACTTCACTACACATAGTTTGACTTTTCATAGCATCTTTGGGCTTCATGAAGGTTCCAAAATAATACTTTTTCTGTGAGGACTCATCTCCTGAAACAAATAGATAGCTTAAAATTTTCTAAGACTATGCCCTTTCTTTTTATGTTGATGCTTACTTGACCATCAAGAGTTGCCTTATCACAAGGTTTCCTAATAATCAACATCAGGTAATAAAATTAGAAATCAAGATTGTCATTGGTGATTGTAGGTGAGAAGAACAAACATCAAAATAAGTAATTTCAGAAATGCAGATATCAGATGGCTGAGGTCATAGCTAGGATCCATTCGTGGACTTTTATTGATGACAAAAATTCAAATGATTCTGTCATGCTTCAAACAGGATCATAAGACAAATAATCCAGTTGCTTGCCTGCTTGATCTGAACTCTTATTCTGTATATTATTACATGTGGTCCTCAGAGAACACAAACTCAAGTAGATATTGTTCAAAAAATAATGTGCAAATCAATTCTCATACAGTAAAACATGGAACATTTGTCAATTGAAAATCAGAATGAAGTAAATAATCATAATGGCAGATCACAGAAAATATTCTATGGTCCTCTGATCTTGCAACTCAAGTTGGATTGTAGTTACCATATAGGCAGCAGCTGTTTCTTCAGGAATCTCTCCATTCGAACCCCGATGAGCAATGTTATATGGTCTCGATGTCTGCAGGGGCTGTTTGACTTTGTTGTCTTGTTTGCTTGGCAGCGGGTAGATTGGCCTCCCGACAGTCAAGTTAAACAAGGAGAAAAGAAGCAAAGAAGCAATCCCTGCCAAAAGAAGAAAGAAACATGTTGAGCACCATCTTGAGTCAAAATATCACAAGGCAATAGAAACTAGTAGAAATGATCATCAGTTTTCACTTTCCCAATACCATAAAATGGAACATATGTTTATGAAACAAAAAAGAAGGCACGAATGCATGAGAAAAGCAAAAGAAAATATAGATAGAAAAAGCTCTCAGTTTGAGCACCATCTTGGATCCAGAAGCCAGCACTTGGCCAAATTGAGAACTTAGTAGATATTTATTGTTTCAGGATGATAAAATCGACAACATGTCTTTGTAAAAAAAACATAAGAAAGTGGACGTCAGCAATAGGACTCAGGAGTTCGACTGACACTAGCAATGCAAATGAACAAGCAACACAAATTTCAAATCTTAACAAATGTGATGACCCATAACAACATTTTCAAAATGATCAAATTTACGAGTAACTCACCGAAATGAAGAACAGAACGACACAGATGCATGACAGAAGCAGAAGTAAACATAGCAAAATTACTCATTTCACACACCATCTTAAGTCCATATATCAGAAGAAATGCAAATGAATAAGCAATATAAAGCCAACAGGTGACCAAAATAGAATTAGTAAATACAATCATCACTGGAGTAACCAAAAGTATAACAAGAAAAAGATGCATGACAAGAGCAGAAGTATACATAGCATGGTCACTCAAGATGGCAAACGATCACCTAATAACAACCCTCCTACATTGCCGACGTTTGGTTCATATATACTGAACATCAACCATCATTTATTGACATGAAGAAAATATCTTTCCACTTGAGAACATGAAAAAAGGCAAATTTTCTTGATCCTTCGAAACAACTCCACCCCAAATCGTCAATCGAAGAAAAGATCGCGGAGATCTCATCAAACGCAGGGCACGAGGAGGGAGGAAACACACGACACGAGTCGAAAAAACGAATCCATTCAATTAGAGACGAGAGCAAGAGAAGCAGGGAAAGAGAGCTCACAGAGGGATGCCATGATATCCTCCTCGCTTCCTCCCCTCTCCCCCACTCCGCGCCTCTTCTCCCAATCTAACCTCAACTGGGGCGAAGCCCGCACTGGACTAATTGTGGGGAAATGAAATCGATAAATATATAGGGGCGAAAAAAGAATATTCGGCGGAATAATAGGAGGCAATGGGATCGTTGATGAATTCACACTCGATTATAATAAATACAGTGATTGAACACGGAATAATACCTCCAAGCAAAAGCGACGATCGCACGGACTTCCTGGTGAGGCGATGGATCGTTGATTCAGGTTTGGTGAGGGGATACATCCCCAGATTGGATTGCTACTGGCAGCTGAGAGGATACGTTACTTCTCGAGCAAATTCCCTAAAAAATTCTTTACTTTTATCCTTTTTGTTTTCGATTTTTTCCCCCTAATTTGAATTGAACCGATTTAAATATAAACCAAACCCCCCCACCCCCAGCCCCCCCCCCCCCCCCAACCCAAAAAACAAAAAAAAGCGTAATATTAATATACATTTTATATTAATAAAAATAAAAATGAAACTAAAAATATAAAAATAATTGAACAATAAATATCTTATAATTTCAGCTTAAATTGATAACAAAATTAACAAAATAAAAATTGTAAACTTTTTATAATCGAATTAATCGAAATTAGGTCTTTTAGTTGCGAAAAAATAGAATAAATTATCGATTATGGTTTTATTAGATTCTTTCAATGTTTCGTTAAATATTAATATTTTTGGATAATAACATATCTAAGTTACATAGTTGTATTTGGACTTACTAAAAAACGGTATAACTCATGACTTTTTTTTAATAAAACTTACAAATAACTTAAAATACCTAAACGATTATATTTTTATATTTTAAAATAAATAAAAAATATGTATTTTTTCCTCCCTTTTTGTGAAATCATGACTTTTTTTATTTTATCCAATTTAAGATATATATACCAAAACCTTGGGACAAATAGAAGTTGAATATTGTTATAGAAAGTGTTCAAAGATTTTAAAGACACAAAAAAGTTTTTGAGGACATGAGTTAGTTATATTATTTTTGAGTCCCTATTCAAAAATAATATAACTCATATCTCAAATTTTTAGGAAATCTTACAAATAATTTACAACTGTATTATTATCAAACCATTAAAAGTGAGAAATTGTTATTTTTTATTTTACTTAATTTAAGGTGAATTTATCACAACTTTGGGATGGAAATCACGCGTAGTATATAACTCAGATTCCATAATTTTCAAAAAAATTCAAATATTTATATATTTTTACAATATTATTTAATTTATTAACTATTATTTATTTTGAACGAATTTAAATTTTGGGTCGGATTCAATTAATGGGTTTGAAAAGCGAGAAAGAAGAGAAAACGACAGAATTTGCCCGTCTTCTTTAATCAGTATTGATCGAAGTTGATTGGCGTGTCAAATGGATCCGAAACGGCCCGAAGTCAAAACGATATTTATTTATCTGGCAGAAACATCCTTCGTAGCCAATTAAGGATCACGCGGCGACGTACGTGAACTGTCATTGCCCATACCAAGTGGAACCCACCATTCTGACGAATTCTATTCGAGAGTAAACGAGTATTTAAATAATTTTGTGGCTTTCGAGGCATTTAATTCGCGAGTCGCGTGCTGACGGGTGGGTCTTTTTTTTTGGGGGCGGCACGCCCGACGGACGATACCCATGTCCTTTTAATAAGCATTTCATCGAACGATTTCCGCGCGTCCTTCAGGCTGCCAGATCTATAGAACACATAGATTATGGAGTTAAGACATCAGGCTTGCCGGAGTTGGGCGACGACGAGCCTGCGCTCCTTGTGCCTCCTAAATTGGACACATTTCTTAACGCGTTTGCGGACGATGGAACAGAGCTCGACCCCGTCACAAAAGCATCGACTACGACGACGACGGCGACGAGAAACCAACGACTGAAAACGACTCGGCGGAGTGGAGAAGGTTGAAAGTTTCAGAGAAGACCTGCGGTGGTGGATTCCCTCGAGCAGCGGGCAATGGTTGCCTTCCATTGCAGTCGCGCGCGTTGATTCCACGGGAGCGCGAGGGTCAATGGCAGGCCGACTTGGACTTGGTAAAGCTTGAGGCCAGTGGTGGTTGAGCAGAGACCGTCCCAAGTCATCCTTTGGAACCATGTGAAGAAGCCTCTGCATACCTACTACAATTTGTAATACAAAGGCCAAATTAATTGTTTTAGAAAATAATAATAATAGATAAAATAACACTTCACCAAATATTATAATAAGGTAATGCCTAAAAATAATCATTTTTTTATTTGTTTTTAAGGTAAAAATATGAATAAATCCTTATATTTACTATATTAGGTTGAAAACTCAAATATAATATTACATACATGATGGATCTGCCAATGGATGGTATCACAGACCACATGCTTCACATATTGCTTAAAGAATCCAAATAAGTATGATGCTATGTTCTGATTACAACTTGTATATAGAATCAACTGAATCCAAACAAAGTTCCTCAGAAGAAGGAAAAAAAAAACCACAAAGCTGTGCCAGTGAAACATTCATGTGCAAGATAACATAAAAATGACACTCATTAATAACATTCTGAGCAAACCAGAATTAAAAGAAAAAGAAACCCTGTTCTTTCTGATAGCTTCTTCCCAGTTACAGGGATTTACCATTCTGAAGTAACCCAAATGGTTCCAACATGTGATGAGGCAAGCCATCACAAGAATTTTGCTGGCAATGTACTGACAACAATGTGCCTCAGTGGGTGAGCCACATCACCGCTGCCTGCATGCTTGACAAACTCAGCAGGGCTGAAGAAGCTGCCATGGCACACGCACACAATCTTGACTTCCTCCCCCTTCCCGTACTTGTAGAGCAACCCTTCGATTCTTCTTCCGTTCGGTCCATCTCCTATGGTGGAAACACAAGGCATGTCTTGGATCATTTTCTTTCCCACCTTTTCTAGTACCTTGGTTTTGGGTCCTCCTCGTGCAGCCTTCCTTGGTCGGTCATCAACCTCGGTGACACAGGTAACATGTTGTCCTAATACTGTAGCTTTTGGCTTACAAATGCTTTGATCAGACAATGCTGTAGCAGTCAAGGAGCTCCTGACCTCCGAGATGTTGCTTAATCCTGAGAAAATAAACTCTTATCAGTAATGACAGTGAAGTCACAGATTGAAAGCGTCGAGGTAATGTGTTCGAGACAAAGACATAGATAGGAGGATCAACTAAAGTAATCTCAGTTCAAATTATTTTTTAGTGATATTCTCACAGCTAAAATGATAATTGGATTAAGCGACATCAAAAAGGTTACCTTTAACACTAAGATAAATAAAGACACTTCTCTCTCTTTCTCTTTCTACTATGTGTTGCCACCTCCTCATCCTCTCTCTCTCAATTCTCCCCTCCCCTCCAGCTGAACCTGTTCTGGCATTCTAATAGGCATGGGGTGTACCGGCATAAGATGCATCCAACCATACTCATCTGCCCGAGGGCCGGTTACAGAACTGGACCAACATTTGAAACATTGGTTGTGCAACACATCAACTTTTGCCTTACAGAATTGTCATGCACTTGGATCAACACACCAATCCCATCAGTACAATCTTGAACTCTTTTAAAAAACAATCCTTCTTGATAGTGAGATAAAAAATTGCAAGGCAACATGACAGGCTTTATCCATGATCAATCTCTTCCACTTATGATACAAAGGTCAAAATGGATATCAATGAGTAATGTATTTGTGTATTTCTCATTTTAGTTTAGTCACTTGGATTTCCCATGTAATGGTGCAAACCACCAAGTCCAAACCAACTTATTTTCTCCATTTCAGTGAGTTTACACAACAAAATAAATCTCTGCAACAGGTTAAACCTGAACACCAGATTTTTATGAAATGTGATGCTGAGCATAGTTTGGAGTATTGTATGATCATGGTCAGACTCATCCACTTATTTCATTTTAATGTTGAAATATATTGCAGTCTAGCAAAGGTCTATTTTGGTAATAGAATAATCAGAGAAGAAATCATAAGGAGCTACTGTCTTCTACAAATTTCGACATTCTGACTGCTTAGTGCTGGTTAACATGGACCTCTTGAGTGACATGGGGACAACTGCCCATGTTAAGCAGAAGATAATGAGCAGAAATCAAATTGTGCAGCCAATTATAAAGTTCCCTATCAGTGTGAGGTGTTTATGTGGCCAGCCACTGGAACATCACTCAAACAATTAACAACAAAAATTGCTGATATCTTGCAATTTGCTAGAGCAGATCCAAATTCCAAAGTGTTGAACAATGATGACTTTCAAAAACTGGCAATATGATGAAGATTTAGAACCTCCACGGAAAAATTAGTCTACCATGTACTACAGGAACCTAATAATCCCATCATTTTAGAGAACATACAAAGATAACTTCTGTGAGGAATTGAATGCCAAGCTACTAACTCTTAGATCTCCTCCCAAGACCAGTTTCTGTCCAAACCAATCCAGAAGGCTTAATAAACAAGCTAATGAGTCATTCCAGAAAGCAAATGAGGAGACAAGCATTAATGTCGAATTTTTTTACCTTGATTTGGCTGGCTGTCGATGTCATACAAGCTGGAGCAGCTGCTTCCCTCAGATCCAATCGAGACGGGCGATGCCAGCCCGAAGCGTTTCGATGCGTCCACTCTGCCGGCGGTGTCAGCCCACGCCGGTGGCCTGTGAAGGACGACCCCGTTCCGAAACCTTGCGAATTCCTTGTCAAAGATCTTGTTTTTCCGGCCTACAGTACCATTGGCTTCCAATCGCTTCAAGCCCTGCAACTCCTTGCTCTTTCGGTGCTCTACCTCGGCCTCCGCCTGCAAGGAGCACGTTCTCGCGACCGGATGATTCACGGAGAAGTCGCGCTCCGTGGGAAACGTCGAGAAGGAAGAGGGCCGGACGAGCCTCTTCTCCTTGGGTTCCAGCCCAACACGTCCGCCTAAGGAAAGACCGAGGCTGAGCTCCGTCTCTCCCGACCCTCCATCCCCCCAAGGCGTCCTCTTCTCCCCCTGTTCCCCGCCGCCAGCTCCAAATCGCGTCAAGAAATCCTTCTGGCAGCCCGGTGCACGCGCAGAGAGCTCCTCTTCCATTGCCAAGCCACACGAAACGCTTGCAAAATTTTATCTATGGTCAAAATTATGAGCAAAACATGCAGATGTCAGGGGAGGGAAGAGGGAAGGTAAAAAGAACTGGATATTTGGAAGGCGGAAGGATCATTCAGCTCAGAATGTCTCCTAAAAGGAAGATAGCTCCTTTTCCATTGCCGAACCACACAAAAACGCTGCCAAGAAACAATTTTTATCGCATTGAGACGACGGTATCTTGCTATCGCCGGTGATAACCTCCAAAAATTTGCGGAAGAACTCGGAGAAGGGTCCGGTAAGCCATGAGAGGAAGGAAGAATGGTGAGAAAAAAATCACTTTCAGAGGGTGGAAGAATAATCCGGCCCCAAAACCTCTCATACGGAAAGAATGGAGTCGGATGAATCAGAGAGAAGACATCAGGTGCGATCCAAGTACAATCGGCCGGGACGGACGCAGGGAGTGGAGCGATGGAGCCCGCCGCCGAGGCGGGTGGTACCAACCAAGACACGTGTCGAATAGAGTGACGACCCCGCATCCGTCTTTTACATCCTAGGAAGTAATTAGGTGCGACGTATCGAGGAGCTATTCCCCGGACTTGGTGTCTTCGACTCACCCGATCTTCAACCTTCGTGGTAACTCGTCAATATTTTGGGGCCACAATAAGTGGCTGTGGGGTCATCACCGCAAAGATAGCAAAGGTAGAAGAGTTAGTAGGAGCGTCCGCGTAGTGGAGGAATTTTACTTTTTTGTTATGGGGAACGGCGTCGGCGATGGAACAGCGGGCGGCTCCACACCAGGTGTTTATAAAGGATAGCCGTACACGTTCAATCACACCAAAGATGGCGTCGACCAACACTTTGTCCGGAGATCGGCGTACGTGTCTTTTTCTTGTGGGTCCCGACGATTAACAGTTAATCATGTGGCTCCATCAGTCTGATCTCGGGGCGTTTTAAGAAGTACGTTAAAAAAAACGGTGGTTCCGTGAGAGTAGCGGCGATGAGTGTGGGTATACCCTGTATCGTTAGAGCATCACTTGCTATACACTTGTGCCGTTACCACCCTCGCCCACCATCGAGGGATCCGTTGGCCCCACCGCATTTTACCGAGAGCGAGAGTGGGTACCGCTACGTGGTGACATTTTGCACCCACGCACTGCCAACCCCATCACCGAGCATGATATGTTCTGTTTAGGTGGGCTCCACTGGATCGCCCAATCACAAGCAGGGAAGTGTGGCCACGACGACCGACGTGGGTCCCACCTTAAAGATATCCAATTTGCGTCAAGATCAGTGCTTCCGAGACGAGCTAAAAACAAGCATTCAGAACGACTCCACTGGGGATCGAACCCAGAATCTCTGGTTCCGTAGACCAGCACCTTATCCATTGGGCCATGGAGTCCAATGTGCTGATTGGTTGAACTATAGATTAATGATTACTATTACTAGTTCTTAAGACAACCTACAACCGCGGTATATAACTAAACGACTCCACTGGGGATCGAACCCAGAATCTCTGGTTTCGTAGACCAGCGCCTTATCCATTGGGCCATGGAGTCTCATATGCTATAGTTATTTGAAAAATATATTTTATATATAATTTGTTTTCCAAACAGGATTCCAGCAACACAATTATGTTCTAATCACCCAGAAGCCAGGAACATGAGCATCTCAATCATCCCAAAGGGGAGAACAAAAGTTCTAAGGATGGTTTCTTGTCCTACTGAACTTTGTTCCCTAGCTCACTATGCCTTCACCTAGATTCTTGACTTGATGGTTCGAAATGCTACCATCTGTCATATGAATTTATGGGAGAAAGCCTGCAACAATTGAGCAACCATGGTTAACCACCTGCAAAGCTTTTGACAGACTTGGAGAAGAGAAAGCAGGATTACTGTGTGTATATATTGTGCCTTAGCTGTATCCATGGGAGGTGATTTGGTCTGAGAGTTGTTGGTGGATCAGCAGCATTTGTTGCATCAAATTTGGTAGAAATCCAGTTTATATTCACTGAGAGTGGAGATTTGGGTGTCTTGGAAGCTGCTAGTTTTGCCATTCTTTGTTGATTGGCTGGTGAATTTTCTCGCTTATCTCCAACTGTGTCTCGCTACGTTTCTCGATAGTGTAATGCACCTTGGAAATGACGTTGCAGTGGCCTTGCAATTGTGATCGGACAAACCGTGAGCTGGATGTGACAAATTGACAGCATTCCAGATGAGGAGAAGCAGAGGATGCCATGGCAGCTCGCTGACGGCCGACCTGCAACACCATGTCATTTCAAGTTCCTTCAGATCACTCGCTCGCAGGAAAGTCATCATGAAAGATCCCTTGCGGCCGCTTGCACAACCTGGGGTATCACGAAGTGCAGAAGTGGTGGCGTTAGAGACGAGCAGCCATCAGATCGGACCAGGGCAAAGCGGAGTTGCAGGTTGGAGATAAATATGGGTGGAACTGAAACCTGCATGAGCAGAGGCTTTGGGAGAGAGAAGAGAATTGCAAATATTGTGGGTCCCGATTCGTGTATGCAAATATTGCACTGGAGATAGAAGTGGGTACACCGAAAAAGAGGCGGGTTTTCCAATTCGTGCGGTGGGCCGGCGGCGAAGCTGAGACAGGCGGCGGGAATCTGCCGATATATGGCCCAATGTCCCATCTCGGCACATGTCTTCTCTTCCCGTCGCATCCGTTAGGTAACCCCACCTCCCTGTGCTCCGATCTGTCAAACCGAAAGGACCATATAGCCCTCCTTCGAAAGTCTATTATTAGCTCCTGATCCACAATTAATTCCACAGGACCATGAGCAAATCAGTAATTTTATGTAGTAAAGCTACAGCGAGAGTGAGGGACTCGCTTCGCGTTCCGACTTCTATATAAGGTGACCGCTCTCTCGGTCTCCGACGGCGTTGCTCCCTCCGAAACCTCTCTTGTTCCCTACCGACCCTCGCCAGACCAGTAAAGGTCTCGCTTTTCTTGCGTCCGCTGCTTCAAACTTCGACGATGGATTCCTCCTCCTCGGCTGTGGAGTCCGCTCTGTTCCTTCTCTTCCTTCCGAAGACGGAGGCGCTGCCTTCGATCGTGGCCTTCCTCCTCGCCGCCCTCTCGGTTCTCTGGTTCTACCCCGGCGGGCTCGCATGGGCGCTCTCGAGGGCAGGACGCTCGATCCCCGGCCCTCGGGGCATGGTCCTCGCCTTGTCCGGCGCTGCCGCGCACCGGTCCCTCGCCACGCTCGCCGAAACCCTCAAAGCCACCGGCTTGATGGCCTTTTCCGTCGGCCTCACCCGCTTCGTCGTGTCCAGCCGCCCCGACACCGCCCGGGAGATCCTCAACAGCTCGGCCTTCGCCGATCGCCCCATCAAGGAATCCGCCTACGAGCTCCTCTTCCATCGAGCAATGGGCTTCGCGCCCTTCGGCGAGTACTGGCGCAACCTACGGAGGATGTCCGCCACCCATTTGTTTAGCCCCATGAGGATCGCCGCTTCGGGAGAACACCGCCGGACCATTGCACAGCAAATGATCCGGGACGTAATGGCGAGCATGGAGAAGAATGGGGCGGTGGAGGTGAAGAAAGTCCTGCACTTTGGGTCTCTGAGCAACGTGATGGCGACTGTTTTCGGCAAAAAATTCGATTTTGGGAAGGGCCAGGGCATGGAGTTGGAAGAGCTGGTCACAGAAGGGTACGAGCTACTCGGTGAGTTCAACTGGAGCGATCACGTCCCTCTGTTAAGTTGGTTGGATCCTCAGGGCATCAGAAAGAGGTGCAGGGGACTGGTGTCCAGGGTTAATGTGTTCGTGGGGGGCATCATAGGCGAGCACAGGCGGAGGAGATCTGGTGGAGAGTCGGTCGATGGTGACTTTGTCGATGTGCTGTTAGATCTAGAGAAGGAAGAAAGGCTTTCTGATTCGGACATGGTTGCTGTTCTGTGGGTGAGCTCCCCTTCCATGATTTCCATTATTATTAACACTCATGACATTCTTCTTCGTTCTACATTCTTGTAGTTTAATGATTGGGTTTCATATCATATTCCTGTGCTTTTTAGTTGTGTTGTAGTTGTCTTGGTAGGTCAAGGGACTTCTGTTGGATTAGCTGGTTTGGAGACTTATCTGAAGGCTTAAATGTGTCCTTATCCTCTCGCATCTTAGAAGCTCACATCTCCATCTTATGCACTGTAACCAGTGAATCCTGCTAAAGATCTGAGAGTTGACATGTTCAAACCATATTCCATCGTATGAGTTAGCGTATCGTCGTAGTAGCGACCATCTTATGGATTCTACTTGTTCTTTTCTTGATATGTATAGTATGTGTTATATCTTGAGGCCTCCATTACGGTTAGATTAAAGCTAAACTCCCAACCATGGACGGCGTTCTGTCAGGAAATGATCTTTAGAGGAACCGACACTGTTGCTATCCTCCTGGAATGGATCATGGCAAGACTGGTGGTGCACCAGGAGATACAGAGGAGAGCCCAGTCGGAGCTCGACGGCGTCGTCGGGAACTCGCGCGCCGTCGCAGACGGCGACATCCCCAACCTGCCCTACCTGCAATCCATAGTCAAGGAAACCCTCCGGTTGCACCCACCCGGCCCCCTTCTCTCCTGGGCGCGCCTCGCCATCCATGACGTTCATGTCGGCGATAGCTTCATCCCTGCAGGGACTACAGCGATGGTGAACATGTGGGCGATAACCCACGACGAGCGCATCTGGCCGAACCCCGAAAGCTTCGAGCCGGAGAGGTTCATGGAGGAGGACGTGAGCGTTCTGGGTTCCGACCTCCGGCTTGCACCTTTCGGGTCTGGAAGAAGGGTGTGCCCCGGCAAAGCCCTAGCCTTGGCTACCGTTCACCTGTGGCTGGCACAGCTGCTGCATCAGTTCAAATGGGTTCCTGTGGAGACTGGAGTGGACTTGTCCGAGTGCTTAAAGATGTCTCTTGAGATGCAGAATCCTCTGGTGTGCAAGGCCTTCCCAAGATACTGAACGAGTTTGGATCTGGTGGAGCTTGGTGTCTGTGGTTATCATCTGCAGTGTAGTTTGTAGAAGCTGGAACTGTTTGTCGTGTCCTTTGAGTTAGTCTCAGCAAGTTTGTGTTATATATATATATATATATATTTGGTGTAATGTACATAAATATATAGCTTCATATGTGGGGAATGGAGTCTCTATCTCAGGTTTCTCTTGGATCTTTACTCTTGGAATGCATATTTTCCTTTACTTTTCTTTGTTGAAAGGCAACCAATTCCATGTTGAACTCCTCGAGTTGTCAGATTATTGGTTTGCATTTCCATGTTGGAACTCCTCGAGTTATCAGATCACTGGTTGTTTGGATATATGTAGAGGCAACTGATTGCAGAACAGTTGTGTTCTTCATCAATCCAAAAAGGATGTGACTGCTCATCCATGACTCATTCATGATAAACATTCCACCTCATTTAATGCTGGCCATTTTTCCTGTGCTGCCTTTTCCACTTGCACAATCTATAGAAGAAGCAAATCTTTCCTACAAGATCGGGCAAGTTTTCCGAAAGAGTTCTCACAATTATAGGATTCAGAAAAGACATGCTACCTCTCATGTGAGATTAAACTTCGATAAGCACGACTGAAGTCTCAGCAATATTATCTGCCCATGGTGCAGTTCTTGTCCATCTCTTTCAACACTTGCACATGTTGTTTCCCTACACATGCAAAGAGACAACATAGGGTTTCCTTAGTTTGACCTTCGATGTACAGCCGCACCCAATAATATGATCTCAAGATACCACTTTTTCTAGTGTCATATCCCCACAGAATATTTGCAGCACCTGAAAAGCTCGCTTCCTTTCTTCAACGATATCTGCGAGCACCCTAATTATTCTTCTGCAGCCTAAATAAACAAAATCAACTTGTCATCCTTGGATCATCACCCTTATCTCCAACGTATGTGCTCCTCCACTCCCGTCAGGTTCTTGCTTGTGTGGGTAGAAACGAAAGAGCAACACAAGACCCGAGAATCTCCACTGTTTCTGACCATTCATCATGTTCGAAAGCCATGGAGCTAAGCGAGCATAAGATCAGGAAAGGAAAAGATACGAAGATCTTGTTGACTCAGGTCTCAGGCTTAGTTAGGCCTCAGTCATGCATACCTAGCAGAATGCTCCGATCCAGCATGCTCACCATTAACTAACCTTTTCTTGACCACCAAGAGTGTCGGATAAACAACTCCAATAATAAACATGGCAGTTGGAGTGTCCACAAATCGTGCCACTGAATCTTGGCTGACATGAACTTTCCATTGCAGAATCACATTTCAGGTAGAGTAGGCTCAAAGAAATTCCACTAGTTTTCTTTCAGACTTGCCTGTGATTCTCATCAAAGTGCCACACTAAAAATGTTCCAACCTATCATCATCATCATCAAGTTTCCGACTAAAACCATGCGAGAGAGAAGGTGGAACATTAGCTTCCCGTTGTATTTTCCAATGGGCTTCTATCCATTGTTTGACGTAGCAAGCTACTGTCTTTTAAGCATCGACCGGCGTTGAATGTGGGGCTCAAGTCCAAGTTCATTGCATAGCTTTCATCAAAGTTGATCGTGATCTTCTATGGGTGACAGTGTGGATAGCATTATCCATTGACAGTAGTACCATAATACTCTTTTTTTATTGTTTGCATCAAATCTACTTTGATATCATTTCTTATTACTCTTCAGTATCCAGTAGATCTTCTTCAAGTCAACATTATATATATATATATATATATATATATATATATATATATATATATATAGATGCCTACAAAACTGAAGATCTCAGACTCATAAAACATTAGCTTGAATGAAATGAAGTAGCAAGATAAAGTGAATTTGGATTTGCCTAAAGGTCTTCTCTTCTTTTTGTTCTCCAAATAAAAGTCTCACTAAAGACCTGAATCTTCAAAGGCTACATCAAAGACACCATGGAAGACCAAAGCCATCAAACTGCAACAATGGCCCCTTAGTATTGGAGCTAATTATTTAAGAAGATATATGTACATATATATATATTTACTTCGATCGAAATGTTTGTGTGACAAATAAAGATGTTTCTGGTTTGTCAGATTCTAAGTTGAATATATGTCAGCTTGACAAAACGAATCAATAAAATCTAAGTGGTGACATTACAACAACCGACACAAACAGGTTCTACTCAATTTTATATACGATCACAAGGACTGGTTAAGCTTCAAATGGCAGCCCACTGAGTTGAAATCATTCGTGCCCGACTGTGTAAACAATCAACCGAGGTACTTTTTCTTCATGATGTTTGAATCCGACTTGTCCGATCCTAAGGGTCTCCAATCAGGAATCCTGTTATAATATATTTTTATGATCAACACTAATTATGAGGAACGATTTTATATTGATCTAAGACTTAATTATGATCATGACATTGTGACATGTTAAATCTAGGATACGATGATAATCATAATAGATCTAGTTTATCATGATGACATCGAGATGGTGGACATGTGTCGGTGTCAGTCACATGAAAAATATAATAATACTAATAAATAAAATTAGTGATATTACCGACAACATCAACAATATTGATAATAATCTTATTTGGACCTCCGCTAAAAAAAGATGTTGATTGATGTTAGTGCTAACAACCTTAAGTCGTGGCCTCGGGATCGACGTAGCTTGGTTTGGGTCCGAATGACAGGGATCTCCCTGGGACGTTCCTCGAGACTGCTGAGGTGGCCGGCTGCAGTGGTCCGATCAGGACGGGGTCGTCGTTTCCTCCGAGAGGGAGCTCCTCGCCTGGGCGTCTAGCGGGAGGCCTCCACCTTCGCACCTGCACACAGGTCGGGTCGGGAGAGCTCGACCCGCCCCCTCCGACGATCAAGTCAGTGAATAGTCGCATAGGATTTGTTGGTGTCCTCTCCTTCTTTCTCGTTTAGAATGCGAGGGTATTTATAGGGAAGCTTACTATTTCCTGATGTGCCCACTTGCAGGGGGCAGGCTCGTACTCCTAGTAGCGTCTGACACTGGTGTTGGCGTGGCGTGAAGGACCGAGCCTGAGCAGGATATTTAATGTGCCTCGGTCGATGTTTCGGTCCGTTTGACCAAGTGGTGTCGGGTCAACTGAGGTGTCATCTGAAGCAACTGACGTCAACCCGAGTCTTATCGCCATTATTACCCTCATCAATTGAAAACCAATATTAATTGCTCATCATTAAAATAAAACCATATATTTTCAAGATTTTATGAATTTGACAAGGATTGCATCATATAAAAGAGTTGGAAGAGTCACATGATATAAATTAAACTGTCAATATTATTCCACTTACAACCATCTAAAAATTAAGCTAAAGCTTGCAGACCAAAATGTAAAATACACATGAAAAATATATTTAAAAAAATTAAAAATTAAAAGCGCTTTGATTCGGATTGGGGCCCAATTTGGTTGATAACAAAGCCCAAGATTAGGCCCAATAAGAAAGCTATTTAAAGAGGCTTCAGAAGATGGGCCTCCAAAACGCCACCAGTTCGAGTCCTCCTCGTTAGGCTTGGCGGCGGCGGAGGAGAGGTCGAGCATGTCGTCGTCGTCGAAGCGGCAGGGGCCGCCCAAGCACCAGAACAAATACGCATGGAAGCCCAACGCCGGCTGCAAGATCAACGAAACGGTCCCCGCCCTTCTCTTCTCCTAAGCTCCATAATCTCGTAACAAAGAGTCTTCTTTTCATTTTTTTTTTTTGAATAAAAGCACGAGTTCTACGGATGGCGGTTGATGTGACAGGAATTGGGAGGAAGGCTTCGCCCCTACTCGGCCGTAAGCGGGGTCTGCCCCCGCTGCAAAGAGCAGATCGATTGGAAACGAAGGTCCCTGTTTGTTTCCTTCTTCTTCGAAGTTTCCTCTGTTATACCCTTGGACTAGGGTTTATATGTGGTTTTATCTGATGGAATTATTTCTTTATTAAAAGAGATTTCTTGAAATCATTGTTGTTGTTGTTTTTGCAGATATGGCAAGTATAAGCCTATTTTGGAGCCCGCAAAGTGGTATTTTTCTCTTCACTTTGTGAAATATTCCTCTTCTTTTTCCTTGTTGCATGTGATCTGCTAAGTTGCTTTGTGGCGGTGAAATAGTCAAAAATGTGGGAAACGGACCGTCCGGCAGGCGTACCATAATGTCTGCTCCGGTTAGTAGTTCACATTTCTGTATTTTCCTTTTTATTCTGTTTTTGAATGATTTTAGTGCCATGTTGTTTGATTCTAATTTATGTGCAGCGTGCTCGAAGGATCTTGGGATATGTGCAAAATGTTGCGGTAGCACCAATGAGATCATAGGAAGGTCATCCTTCTATTAATACCCAACATTTGTTTCATTGTCTCTTTACCTAAGATTTTCATTTATGGAACTCATTATGAATCACTGAACTGTAGGGATGTCTTAGAAGTGGAGTCTGAACGCAAGGCACTGGAGGAGGTCCTTTTCATAAATCAAAGAAAAAATTCCATTCTTGTTTTAATGCATGATTTGAAATAAATTAAGTTTGGTGTATATATTACAGGCTATTAAGAATTCTCGGGAAAGAGATCGAAGGACTCTTCTTCGCGCTGTAAGGACTTCACTCTGTAATTAATAGCATGCATACCCTTCATAGGTTGTATGTTTTACTCTTTCTCCTTGGTACATAAAAGTCTTACTCAGCTATAGGAACACATCAGTTGTTGTGCTTTGTGTTAAAATGAGCTTACTGAAGAAAGAATGGATCACAACTTGTGTGTCTTACTTGGTCCAGAATGAACTATGAGATGTCCGTTAGGCATGAGAATGCTATTGGATGCATCAGCTTGTAAATTGAAAAGATTCATAACCTCTCAACTTCATCCTTTAGTCTTCTATTTGAACACACATTTAATTTGCATTCCTTTTTCTATTTTATTACATGGAACCATGATATGTCTGCTTGCATAGAGCTTAATTGTTACCTTTTTGTTTCCCATTTGATTTGCCTGTGAATGGTGATACATACTGACTGTTGCCAAAGATAAGGGGTTGAGAATGCAAAACTCAACATAATTTATCTTTCCAGGTACCATATATTTTCTACATCCCTTTAAGGTTTGACACTTGCAAATCCCATAAGCTATTGTTACCTGTCTTCAGGATTTTTCCCTGTGGACAAACCATAGCAAATCATTGGATTAGAACATTTCATATGGCAGGAGAGTCCACATTTGTCAATATTCAAATGTTGGCCCAAAACTAAACGGAACTTAAAGAAGGAAAGATCTGGTTAACTCCAACCGCACTATTTTTGTTTGTATAACCTGCTGTCTCCAGCATCGGGAATTGAGTTGTAATTGATCAATTTTATTTCTCTATGTTAAATGGAATATAAATTAGGGTGGTCAACTGAGAAGCAAAGAAATGTAGTGTAAACCAAATGGTGTGGAAAGAAAGAAAACAATCTTAATTTGAATTGAACTTCATGTTTTGACACTATGAGGGTTCAAATTTTAACCTATATTTTCATTTTTCAGCATTATGAATTGTGCTGATACTGTTTGAATGTTCTACTATAGAAACTCTCTACATTAAGGTTTTCCTTCTATTAGTAGTTTCTAAAAGTTGGAAAACCTTTTTCATCATTTATTTCATCCGTATAGAGATAGAGAGTTTGTTCATGACCCTCTTTCCTGAACATGGATCTATATCTACATTAAGGCTTTCCTTCTTTTTCATCAGTTCTGATTTTATTGTCAAAAGAAATAATTTGCTTAACTTGAACTAATATACCATAGTCATTATACTTAATTGTTCCTACTTTATCAGTCTTTATGCTTTTTACATATGACTTATTTCTTCCCTTCAGACAGTCCATAATAATTGCATGCTAACGACTGTCTTTTACTGCTACCAGATGAACAAAAATAGGACTGGAGCTGGGACAACGATTCCAAAAATTGAAGACAGAAGTAGAGAGGGAGATTTGTTTCCTGTTAAAACAATTGATGAGTATGCTGAACTTACAAGACATCATGGTAAAAATAATGATGAGGATGAAGATGAGGACAAATGCGAGGATAAGGAAGTGGATGGTTATGAGGTCGAGGATGAGGAAAAGGACTGGAATGAGGATGAGGATGAGGATGAGGACGAGGCTAAAATGTGATCAACATCAGACTGAATCCTACAAAATTATGAAACAGGAGTTTGACATCAGCTGAAGCTTACTGAGTTGCATCACAGGAGTAACTGTAACCAGTGGATTCTTACATTTTTGTCGATTTTGTTCACCAATAAACTATCACTTTATAACTGCTTCCAGATATAGAAAATTTTTGTTTGTACTGATATATTTGTTGTATGCACGCATTAGGATGTTGAAGAAGCTGAAGAATGTAGTCGTTACACATCTGAGAAATGTCAGACATGACCTTTAAAGATCAAAATTGATGAGGATCGAGTGGTCAATACAGTGTTATTGTTTCATGATTTCATCATTCAATCTTATGTATCACATGGCTAACATCTGAAACCTTAATCTGCATCTTTAAAGTCAAGCAATTGGATCTTCTGAAAGGACAAAAGATGCAGCCACAATCTACCTTTTAAAGATATTTCAGAAACATCTGAGGTTTTTTATGTAGGATGTATATAACTAACGGGTTTGTGTTGGATGCAATGCATTATGAGATTCCAAAAAGGCTAGAAACAGTTTTAACAACACACCATGATGTAAGATTGCAAAAAAAATTGCATCTCCATGATCTTTCAAGCAAGTGCAATAGCTTTTTGGGATGAAGAACACTGATATTTGAAGAACATCACAACTCAGCATGATATGAATCATCACGATCAGTCCACTTAATTGGACAAAAAGCTGCTACTATAGTGTAGAAACTTATCGAGAGGAAAGCAGTTTACAACACAGGCGATTCCACATATTTCATGAAGGAGAATAATTAGAACAGAGAAAGTAATGTGCCTTGCCCCGTGTTATTTGTAACCAGTATTATATCTCCTGGTTTTGGATCCCCAGTTCAATAGTTTACATAACAAATCGATATGCTTCCATGTCAATAATTTCATGTTTCTCAAGGGATTTCCTTCCAGAACCTGACAGACCTGTCATTACCGCAGGTAACAAAGGCTGCCTCTGTTGGAGAGTGCTCGATCCACCGGGGGGCAGCTACATGATTAGATGGCCAGATCGCAACCTTCTCAGCAGTGAGCGCATCCCAAATAACCACCTGTACAAAATCTTATTTCGATAAATTTATCAAATATGAAACAAGATGCAATCTTGGTGAAAAAGGCAACTGACCTCATTACTTGATTCATCAATGGATAGAATGAACTCTTCAGTGCCATTGAAGACAGCCTGCAAACAGATAATGGACTAGATTATTTCTAGACTATATTATGTTATATAGAAATATTAGTCTTCTTAGTGTAGAATGGAGTTATGAGAGAGCTGTTCATTCTTATGACACTTACCAACTTTTTGGTTTTTAATATCAGCCATTGGATCATGATAATCATTGGATACTTTCATGTTGTTAAACAAGCAAAAGGCAAAAGTAACACAGCAAATGTCTTTTCAACAAAAAAATTGACACGGCACAAACTTTGTTTTCAGCTGTGAACAATATTTAGTCACTATACAAACTCTACCAGGAGAATCTTTAACATAATCATACTTCACTACAATTATAAATTGGAGATTAAGTCAATTGTAAAAAAAAGACAATAAATACCCACAAATGCTCGTCAAAGTGCTATTTCTATAGCCACTTAAAAGAACACTATTCAAAGCCTTCAAAAGGTGAAAAGATAGAGGAAAAAGTTTGAACGCTCAGTTTTCCCTTCAGTATTGTTTTAGCACAATTGATGCATACCAAAAATTTCTGGCAACAGAAGACAATATACGTATCTTGCAGGAAAAAGGTCACTAGAATCTGGAACACAGTATTGGTGTTTATAGAGCTTCCAAATTTGATAGATGTAACACATCTCTCTACAAATTGAAGCATCCAGATTTTCATGCAGTACCCAAAATAAAGATGCAACAGAAATTTAGCCAACCTGACAACGAAACTGCGTGTGCACCGCTCCCACGTATTGCTTGAGTAGTCTTCCAGTGCCTACTTCCCACAATTTAATGGTAGAGTCCTTTCCACAAGAGAGAATGAACCTAGTAGAATAACACGGTGAAGTGAATGACAAGAGAGGAGGAGAAGCTTAGATGACAGAGAGTTATTCTTTCATGTAAGGTGGACCGAATAATCCAGCTTACTCATGTACAGAACTCTCATTGCTACATAAAATTTAGGTTAAGTCTGCATTAAGTCTTCATATTAGATCTCTACATAAAAATGTGAATAAGCAATCACTCCAAGATATTCTTCCCAAATATCAAATGTTTTGTATATTATTTAGTAAAAATAACATGCATATTAAAAAATTCAATTTATTGAAGGCACGAACTTTTTAGAACTAGAAACATAAATGGAAGATACAAGTCGATTTAAATGAGCACGGGCACATGGGCATGACATTCTACACCTTTGATCTTTTGTAAAACTTGCACTTGTAGCCTCCATTAACCCATGTGCACCAACTATGGGTCGGACACATTGTGCAGTAACCCCATCCCATACACGAATAGAACCATCTTTTGATGCTGTCACATACATACTGCCAGTAGACGAGTATCGGACCTACACAACAACGTATATATTATTCAGGCAAAAATAGAAGACCACTTCCTTAGATGACTCAAGCCAGAAACACCCATGCCTGGTTGATAGCAGCTTTAGCATTTAGGTCATGAGCATTTGCTGTTAAGTAACACTTGAAAGTATTGATATCATACAAATGAGGAATTGGATGATCAGTCCCTGTGGAATTCAACAGATTCCGATTTGTCACACGTGGTAATTACACCCATGTTTGATTTAATTGGAACTTATATAGAAAGCTTGATTTTCCACAAAGCGCAAAGTGGAGCATAAAAAAAACGAGATACAGAAATATTATAGTGCAGTTCTCTACATGAGCATAAGAAGAACAGAAACAGCTACTATAACTTCATTTTAGAATCAAGCATGTTCACATATAAAGATAAGACATGCACCTTTCTACATGACTAAATAAGAACAGAAACATTCATTGTAACTCCATCTTGGAATCAAGCATGTTCACATATAAAGATAACACGTGCAATTTTCTACATGAGTGTAAATTAGAACAGAAACACCTATTGCAACTTCTTGTAATCAAGCACACCATTCATCCAGTGAGAGAATCAAGTTCGGCTTCCATACTGTGCAAAGGAGACAGTCACTGTCTATGGACACAAAAGTACAAACAGAAAAGATGCAATTCAGAACAACTACAAAAAGATAAATTAAATGATTTGTATTTAGTGCCCATTACATCTGGGTCCTGTAATACTTAAGTTCAGCTTCCATACTGTGCAAAGGAGACAGTCACTGTCTATGGACACAAAAAGTACAAACAGAAAAGATGCAATTCAGAACAACTTCTTGTGTCTATGAATAAGTTGCGATGCAGAATGGATATCTCCAGGTTTAAATCAAGTCTTGGTCAGAATCAGATTCTGAGTCCATTACTTCTAGGTCCTGTAAATTAAATTAATTTTTAAAAATGATTTGTATTTAGTACCCATTACTTCTGGGTCCTGTAATACTTAATTCCTATTGTGGGTAAAGAGTGAATTTCCTAGTAAAGAAAATACTTGTCCACAAAAGTTGGCTTAGATTTTTGTCTATGAATCTAGGTGAAGTAGACAAACAAACAGTTACATGGTAAAGAAACTAAAAGAAAGTTGGTTTCGTACAACTATGAATTTCCTAGAATAGGAGATAGTTGTCCATATAAGTTGGCATAGATTTTTATCCATGAGTATAGGTGAAGTAGATAAACAAATGGTTATATGAATAAGGAAACAAAAAAGTAGTAGGTTTCGCATGATGTTTTGATCAATGAAGATAAGTTTCTTACCAGTGGCATCCTTTTCTATAATCTCTTGATTATAATAATGCCTTCTTAATAAGGCATTCCTAGATCCATAGAGATGGTTCAATTTTTTAGTTTTTAAGCTTCAGATAAATATATCACAGAAAAATGAAGGTCTATTCCTAGATTATAGACAGAAAAAAAAACTAGCCAAAATGTAGTGTACTTTGTTAAGACATACTAGCATCTAAGCAAATTATAACTATAAGACATAACAACCACCATATGATTTCAATGCTAATCAGCAAAAAGATATCCAAGAAATGCATAGCTAAACATTAGAAAAATAGAATAAGAACCTGCCAATAGATATTCCCCAGAAGGATGAAAAGAAACAGATCTCACATTGTGAGTGTCCTGTGCGCACAATGATACAAAAGAGGACTAATTCATGTCACTGACTTCAAGCAACTGAAGAAGATAGAATCTTAAATGCCAAATTGCTAGAGAACTTAGAAGTGTGGGAAAAAGAACAGAACCTGGATAACTCTAAAAGCTCTCCTTGCAACTGTTTTGGAGAAATCAAAAAACCTAAAAAAAGATTATACGCTGCATTATTATACATATAACACTTGGAGACCATAAAAGAAATAAATATGGAAATAAAGACGCATATTGAAGCTTCTCTCAATAGTTTATTTCTTACAGAGTGTGCTCCATGAACCCTAAAACAAGGTTTCGAATACCGGTCAGTATGGAGCATACTGACCAGTACTTAGATCCAATCATATGGTCCATTAACAAGTGGTATAATTTTTTTGTTATTATTTTCAGTTGGTAACCGATGGTACAGGGTGTATACCTTCAGTATAGTGGTACCATACTCGTCCAGTAGATCACTGGTTTCACTGAAACCAATACTGGAACAAGATTTAGAATCTTGCTTAAAGGTGCCATGTCAAGATGCAGAATTCTATGTGCTCATACCCGGGACTTGCATGCTTAACAGTCCAAATATTAGGTATTCTACTTTCCCATCTATAGAAGTCCTTTCTATCAATAGGTGCAAGGTTAAGATGTTGCTGCAATTCTTCATTGTATAGACAAAAGACACAAAACCAAAATAATGAATTTCAGGTGACTCTAATGGCGAAAAATGAGCTTTATGAAATTACCTACAGAAAATTCTCATGAACAACCATACCTTTCTAACATTTAGATGCAATCAATTCCTATCATTCCCAATATCAGTTGCTCAAAGTTGTATATTGAGCCCTCCAAAGTTTTAACAACAACAACAACAATAAGGCCGTAAGTTTCAACTATTTCGGGTAAG